ATATTTACCTTATAAACAGGTCCAAATCCTCCTTCTCCTAGTTTATTGGCATCAGAAAAGTTGTTGGTAGCAGTCATGATGGTGGAGAAGTCCAATTGCAATGTCTTTGCCGATCTTATTTCATCATCATTTTCAACTGGAACAGGAATGAGTTGCAACGAGTCAATCTCCCAATGGAATTTGTTGACAAACAAGTATCTAAATAAAACACTCTGTATATTATCACTTGATTTGTTTGCAATGAGTGATACATGTTCAATTTATAGGCCTTTAGATATAGCCTCTCAACTATATGCATTTAATACAACTACTACCTTTCAACTACATATATTCAATACAACCACTATCTCTCAACTACATATATTCAATATAACTACTACCTCTCAACTACTACCTCTATAATCACTACCTTTCAACCACATGCATTTAAGGTTTACCTAACAAAATCCCCCCATAAATTTAAATGTTTTTCTTGTCCTTCATTCCAAGCATCTTCTTGCTGTTCTCGAACAGAGTGGTTGACAGTGGCTTCGTAAACATATCTGCAGCTTGTGATCGGGTTCCGACATGCTCTAACTCCACATTTCCTTCTTTCATGATCGGGTTACCGAACATCAATATGCTTGCTTCTCTCATGATTGACCGGGTTCTTTGTCAATTCAATGGCCGACTTGTTATCAACTCGAATCACAGTTCCTTTTTCTTGCTTCAACTCTAGCTTGCTTAGAAGGTTTCTAAGCCAAACTGCATGACAGACACTCCAGGATGCTGCAACGTACTCGGCTTCACAAGTTGACAACGTTACAATGGGCTGCTTTTTTGAAAGTCAGGTGAATACTGTGTTTCCCATGAAGAATACATATCCAGACGTGCTTTTCCGGTCATCAACATCTCCACACCAGTCACTATCCGAGTAGCCTACTAGTCGATAATCATCCATCCTAGTATACATTAGGCCAAGTGACATTGTTCCTCTCACATACCTTAGAATTCTCTTTAGTGCCTTAAAATGCGTATACCTTGGCTCGTCCATATATCGACTTGCTATTCCAACACTTAGTATTAAATCTGGTATGGTATTTGTAAGATACCTAAGACTTCCAATCAAACTTCGGTATTTGCTTGCATCAACTCGGTCTCCATCTGCATATTTAGAAAGTTTTGTACCAGGTTCCATAGGGGTGGAAACCGGGTTGCAGTTTGTCATCTTAAACTTCTTCAAGACCTCCTCAGCATACCTTTCCTGCGACACAAAGATGTCATCCTTTCCCTGAACAACTTCTAAGCCAAGAAAATACTTCATAAGACCCAAGTCAGTCATCTCAAACTCCTTCTTCATCACTTCTTTAAACTCTTCAATTAGCTCGGCATTATTCCCCATGAAGATAAGGTCATCAACATATAGGGCAACAAACATCACATCTTCTTCTTTCTTCTTTATGTATAGAGCATGTTCATAAGGACACTGCTCATATCCATTCCTTTTGAAGTAAGTGTCAATTCTTTCATTCCATGCTCGTGGAGCTTGTTTCAAGCCATAAAGTGTCTTCTTCAATCTCCGCACTTTCTTCTCTTCTCCTCTTCGCATGTATCCGAGTGGTTGTTCAACATATATTTCTTCCTCCAAGATTCCATTCAGAAATGCCGACTTCACGTCCATCTGCAAGATTGTCCATCTGTGTTGAGCTGCTAAGGAAATTAGCAACCTAATTGTTTCCATTCTCGTCACTAGGGCGAATACTTCGTCATAGTCTATTCCTTCTTTCTGCTTATACCCCTTCACTACGAGTCGAGCTTTATATCGCTCAACTTCTCCTTCAGCATTTGTCTTCTTCTTGTACACCCACTTTACGCTGATAGGCCGTGCTCCTTTGGGCAAATCAGTCAGCTCCCATGTGTTGTTGCGTTCTATTGCCCCGATCTCCTCGTCCATTGTCTTTCTCCACCTTTTCTCCTGCACGACCTCTTCAAAACTTAAGTTTTCTGAATCTGCCAAGAGACATACAACATGCACTTCGTCAGTGGAATTGTATATATTTTGTAAACTTCGCGCTCTGGGCTGTAGAGGTTCATCTTCTTCATCAGAAGTCTCATGATCTCTCACAGTATGTGGTGTATCAACTTCTGAGTTTCTACTTCCTATGGACTCCTTCTCCGGGTTGTTCCAACTCCACTCGCTTTCTTCATCAATTTGAACATCTCGGCTCATGATGACCTTCTTAGTTATTGGGTTAAACAATCTGTACGCCTTGGTTTTTCATCATACCCAATAAACACGTACTTTTTGCTTCTATCTTCGAGCTTGGTCCTCTGTTGAGCTGGAACATGACCATAAGCTATGCTACCGAACACTTTAAGGTGAGACACACTCGGTTTTCTTCCACTCCAGGACTTCTTGCGGTGTCTTCTCGTTCAGCTTAGCATGTGGACATCTATTTTGCACATAGATGACACATTGCACTCGCTTCGCCCGTAACTCATTTGGCACATTTTTGCTTCTCAACATTGTTCGAACCATGTCAAGAATGGTTCGATTCTTCCTCTCGGCAACTCTATTTTGTTGGGGTGAGTATGGTGCTGTCAGAAATCCCCTTATCCCTTGCTCCTCACAATACTTCATGAGTTTGGATGAAATGAACTCGCCTCCTCGATCAGACCTAACAGATTTGATAGGCATGTCAGTCTCTTTCTCAACCATTGTTTTAAATCTCTTGAACACCTCAAACACCTCTGATTTCTTCTTCAAAAAATATACCCAGGTTTTTCTTGAAAAATCATCTATAAAAGAAATGAAATACATTTTCCCACTGAAGGACTCAGGGGTAATCGGTCCAAAAAGATCTGTGTGAATCAATTCGAGTTGTTCCTTTGCATGGTACTCGGCCGTCCTCGGAAATGAGGTCCTCAAATGCTTTCCGATCACACACTCTTCACAAAATTTCTTTTCAAATTTCATAGACGGGAGTCCTTGCACCATCTCTTTCTTTACCAACTCGGTCAGCCCGCCAAAATGCAAGTGGTCAAACCGAAAGTGTCACATCATTGCTTCATCCTTCACGTCAAGTTTCAAGCACCTCTCTTGGACTATCTTCAAGTCCAGCTTGTACATTCTGTTCTTCTTCATTTCAACTCGGACAATCAAACGATCCGACTTGTCCTTCAGGTATAGTACTCGGTCTTTTATCAAAACCGAGTAGCCTTTCTCCATCAGCTGGCTCATGCTCAATATGTTATTTTTAAGATCGGGTACATAGTACATGTCTCTGATTTCTCCAACTCGGCTATTCTTCTGCAGGTACCAGATTGTACCTTTGCCTTTTACTGCCACCTTTGATGCATCTCCAAATGACACGTGTTCGGCCTCAACTTTAGTGAGCTCCTTAAAAAGGTTCTTGTCCCTGCACATGTGGTTACTTGCTCCTGTATCAAGATACCAAACCGAGTTGTCAGAACAGCTCGGACTTAGCTCGACATCCGAACTTCTCGACATCATCAATACTCCTTCTTTCTCAGTGTCCTCAGAGAGGAGGTTTGTCTCCTTCTTCCTCTCAGATCGGCAGTCCTTCACGAAATGTTCAACCTTCCCACAATTATAACATTTGATACTTGAATAGCAGTCCTTAGCAAAATGACCATATTTCTCACATTTGAAGCACTCAACTTCGGAATTGCTTGACTGGCCACCTCAACCTCTACCGTCACGACCTCTACCTTGTCTTCGGCCACGCCAGTTTTGTTGACTGACTTGCTCCTTGCCTCTTTCGTATTCTCCTCTGTCTCTACCACCTCGGCCTTGAGTGTTCTGAGCATAAGGAACCTTCTTCTCCTTTAAGGTTGCCTTTGCTTGGAGTGTTTGATCAAATGACTCCTCTTTCTTCTTCCTTCTCCGCTGCTCATGCGCTTCAAGCGACCCGGCAAACTCTTCCACCGAGAGCAGTGACAAGTTCTTAGACTCTTCTATTGCACAAACGATATTCTCAAAGTTGTCAGTTAACGACCTTAAGATTTTCTCCACCACTCGGCAAGTGGGCAGCGTCTCTCCATTTCTTCCGAGTTGATTCACCACGGTCTCAACACGGGAGATGTACTCGGCAACCCCTTCGACCTCTTTCATCCTCATGCTTTCAAGCTCGCCTCTAAGAGTTTGAAGCCTGACTTGCTTCACGCGATTATCCCCTTTATATGCCTTCTCCAGAATATCCCACGCTTCTTTTGAAGATTTAGCATTTGTTATCTTCTCAAAGCCGAACTCATCAACAGCTCGGTACAGTACGAACAAAGTCGTTTTGTCCTTTACTTGTGTTGCTCTCAATGCAGCAAGCTGAGCAATCGTCTGCTCTTCAATATTCTCTAGTTCTTGGTGCCCATTTTCGACCACATCCCATATTTCTTGGGAACCAGGGAGAGCCTTCATTTGCAGGCTCCAGTTATCATAGCTTACGCCTTTTGATAACTTTGGCAGGGGCATGCTGTTAGCTAAGTTGGTCATCTCGAACAAACTTTCTAACTCTCAAACACTCTCTCTAACGCACTCAAATACTCAGGCTCTCAAGCTCTGATACCAATTTGTTGACAAACAAGTATCTAAATAAAGCACTCTGTATATTATCACTTGATGTGTTTGCAATGAGTGATACATGTTCAATTTATAGGCCTTTGGATATGGTCTTTCAACTACATGCATTTAATACAACTACTACCTTTCAACTACATATATTCAACACAACCACTATCTCTCAACTACATACATTCAATATAACTACATGCATTTAATACAACTACTACCTCTATAACCACTACCTTTCAACCACATTACCTAACAGAATTCTGGTTTTTTTGGAAAATCTTCTGATACAGTCGCTTATTTGTTTTATTTATGATAACAATAACTTTTTTTGGGATCTTGGTAGAACGTATAATATAAATGCAGATTATGACTTGTCAACTATTTACATTATGACAATCAGAAATTGTATAGTGAATTATTTAGAATAAGCTGATTAGACAAAAGCTTGACTCCATCCTGTTGCACTTTATATATAAATACCTATTGTTGCAAATGACCTTCTTTTTAATTTTACCATTTCCAGATTGAACAAATATTTTTTAAACGGAAGAAATTTCATATTCTATTAACATTAAAAGAGAATGTCATGTTAGCTTACCTGCAATTTGTTTCCGTGACTTCCTCGTTCTTAAATAGATGCACACAAGAATTACTAGTATGACAATGGCAACTGTTGGCACAACTATTGCTATTACAGTTAGAGATGTGTTGCTCTTTCCTGTAGAAACAGAACTTCAATCTTATTAATTAGTATATTTCTAGGATTGAGGATAATAAATTAGTTCTCAATAACTCTTATCACTAACTACTTCCTGGAAAAGGCTGTCATCAACAAGTGTTTCAATTTATAGGTTGAGAAATGCTAAAAATACACTCTCACTTATTTGTTAAAATTTATTATAAACCATAAAATTTTATGAGTTTCAACATTTCAAGAAGGATCTCACGTTTACCTTCTGCGGGCAAGGTATCTGCTGATGAAGGAGGAAGAGCAGACACCTTTGGTGCTGGTGCTGGTGGTATTGCAACATTGGTAGGATCATAGAAGCGGTATATCTCATATCTGAAGTTACAACTAGGCTTTAAAATTCTACCACCTTTCTTGCCATCACAACAATTTGGAATTTCTGAGATGACCCCAACCAAGCACGCACTGCAATCTTGTTCTGACAAGTCAGGTGTGCACTGCACAAGGCCATATATAGTTTGAAAGGCTGGCCCTGAAATATTTGCTGCGGCAAACTTACGCTGGGAGTCCCCTAATGAAGCTTGGCCTATGAGACTATCTAGCAAGCTCCTCAGCACTTGATTGAATTGATCAATATCTGTTGCATTACCAATGTTCCACATACAGGCAGTAGGTGCGGTTTCCATGGTGCTGAATAGTGAGCGGTTGGAATAGCGTAACAAGCAATTGTCATACCAACCAATTGCCTCCTTCTGATTTGGACACAGTTGCGTGAGAAGGACTTTTGAATCATTCAAGCATCTACGGCAAGCATCTGGCTTAACATCTCCTCTGCAGAGCCCAATTGCGTTTACTCTCTCACTATTTTGGCCATATGAAAAATTGTAGAAGCCATAGTCAATATCTGTGTTTGAAGAGAGGCTGGATAGAAGGGTGTTGAGGTTGTTCTGGTAGGTGCTGTTAGCAGTATAATTTCCTTTGTCATTTTTACAGAAGTAGTATAAGAAACTTGATTGGGCATAGGATTGAGATATGGATACGAGTATGACAAGAATACAAAGGAATATGGACATTCTTAAAACCATGGCAACAGACAGTTGTCCGATCGAAGTAATGTAATAAAAAAGCATATCTTTATCATTGATTTTGAAGTGAAATAATATATTATTAATAAATAAATATAAAAAATATAAAAGATAAAAAAATTATAAATATATATATTTAAATATATTAAATAGTTATTAAATTAAAAAAAATTATAAATTATATTAGAATTATAAAATTTAAAAAAAATTAAAAAGATAAAATTATAAATATATAAATAAATATATTAAATATTCGAAAACTAAAATCATGATACAAAGAGACGTCTCAACTCTCGCAACTGATAATAATGCGAAGACGAACATCAAGATTTAACTTTTGACCCGCAGGTTCGTGTAATTGCCAGTGTTTACGCCTTCATATTATCAATAAGAAACTTCTTTGGAAGAAGGCCCAAACTTTCAAACCAAATGGGAAGGAAATGGTGTCCAAAGTCATGCATGGACCCCCCAACATTAATAGAATAGAAGACTCTCTCACTTTAGCTGAAATGCGAGAAAGAGCTTTAAATCTAACTTATTTAAAAACATGGGTTGATGACTCAGTTGACCACCCAAGCTTTTGGTGGAGTTTGAACAATTCTGTATTAGAAAAAGTTAATGAACCTGATGTGACAGGACTTCAAGAGTAGTATATGGTAATATATATAGAGAGAACCCACCAGTGATTTCCATGTCAAATTTATCGGCAGAGTAGTGGTCCAATACATTCTGTACATTTAATTACTTTAAATTAATGTATTTCACGTGTTAACAAGTATTTTAAATTAAGGTGTTTAGTAATTAAATGTTTTAAATTTTTTTCTTCCAAATATGTCATGAGTCTTCATCTCTTTCTTTGTCCACTTCAACTCCTTCCTTCCTGTTGTCTTCTTCCATAGTCTCCTAATCCTGGAAAGCATATGGTGGTTCCCAAACTGGTTAACAAAGTGGTGAGCGTATTTTAGTGGAAAAAAAAAAGACCCACCCGTTGACCAATCCATGCTAAATGTACAATAAAACATAAATTGTTTCTATAAAATAAGTATCTAATTTTTTGTCATTAAATCATAATATAGACCGGGTTAAATTTTACTTATTCATATTTGTTTCAAAAAATATTATTCATTCATTCATTTTGATTATTCTTTTCTATACAATTCACTATAAATAAATTTAAGATTTTCATTTAGTTAAAATGTTCTGTAATATTTTTTTCCTCCCTTATTAATCTCATTTGCATATTACTTATAAAATATAATATATTTTTAATTATACACTTCAATATTCATAAATTATTAAATTCAATTATCATATAAATAAAATAATTATTTTTAAAAATTTAAACTTCCTACTTAGCATAGAATCAAGGATTAGTAAATATTTTCACTCATGCAATAATTATCACTACTTTTTAATTGATTTACTATGTACAATATTATATAAAGATAATGCATATCATTAAACTCAATTTTACTTAAACATACTTTTAATCTTATTAATATATTAATAATATATTTAGTTTTATTAATACAAATTTATAAATAATAACATTAATACATATTATATATGTATATAATGTAATTTTAATTTAATTATAGCAAATAGTGTGTTGTTTGTGTTCTGTATTTAATTTATTACTCTTATTTATGCATACAAAAACTTATTAGTCTTGCTGCTAAATAAATTAAGAATTAAAGAAAAAATACATACTAGATGAAAAAACGATGAATTAGATAGTATCTCCAGAGAAGAAGAGAAAAGGAATTCAATTACAGTGTGCATTTGAATGTCATTTGTCAGATTGTAACCCTAAATTCTATATAGGGTAAAGCTCACAAGTTGATTCCTCACTTTAGCTTTTAACAGATTTGTTTGGTTCTGTTGCACCTGAATTAAACTCCAACATCTGACTATCTGAGAAGCCTCTTGTGTGCATAAAAAACGCAGGCTCTGAAGGCACAGGGAGTGTGTGAGAATAGCTATTAAGCATGAGTACAACAGAAGCCATGGTTGGTCTGTCAGCTAAATGTCCCTGAACACAGAGTAAACCAATGTGGATGCATCTAATCATTTCATTTCTTGAACCTTTATTCAATGTGGGGTCTATGAGATTGGACGCTGTTCCCTCCCTCCAGGTATTCCACGCCTGCAAGGATTTGCACAATTGCAGAAAATGTTAGTACTTAATTCACATATTTTAACTTCAGAAATTCATCTGAACTACTTAGACTAGCTTCTAACCTAATACTTCAAAGAACTAAAAAGACTAACAGTGAAAACTTTAAAAAGACTTACGAAGCTTATAAGATCCTCGACATGCTCTCCATGTTGAAAGCCACTGTTTTTCTGGCCACTTATTATCTCTAGAACCAGTACACCAAAACTGAAAACATCAGACTTCACGGAGAATTGTCCTTCCCTTATATATTCAGGTGCCATATATCCACTGCATGTCCATGTCATTATGTTCAATTAGAACAAATCTCCCTTCCCTTGGATTGGTTAAGGACTGAAAAAGGAAACAGATAAACCTTTCATATAGTTGTATACTTACTAAGTTCCAACAATTCTACTAGTGTTTCCTTGAGTCTGATCCAAAAGAAATAATCTTGCCATTCCAAAATCTGATATCTTAGGATTCATTTCTGCATCCAAGAGAATGTTGCTTGCTTTGAGATCGCGGTGAATAATCCTTAGTCTTGAATCCTCGTGAAGATAAAGAAGACCTCTAGAAATGCCTCTTATGATGTTATACCGTTTTTCCCAGTCTAGATGAGCACGCTTAATTGGATCTACAAAACCAAGTCAAAGATAACCTTTTATGTTTACTATTACTATGAACTTACGATTAAGCACAAATGAGTTATCGGCTTTCACTTACCAAATATGAAGTAATCAAGACTTTTATTAGGAACAAACTCATAGACCAGTAACCTTTCTTTTCTTTCCAAACTAAAACCAAATAACCTGACTAAATTTCTGTGCTGCAGCTTAGCTACTAGCTGAACTTCATTCTTAAATTCTACGTCTCCTTGTCCTGAATTCATAGACAATCTTTTGACAGCAACTTCTTGTCCACTGAGAAGTTTACCCTGAAATTATGTCAGAGTTAGATACATGTGATTCGGGCCAATAGTCAATACCACAAGTCTACAAGCTAAGTAAAATCTATTTCAAATGTAACCCCATGTTACCTTGTAAACAGGTCCGAATCCTCCCCTTCCTAGCATATTTACCTCAGAAAAGTTATTTGTAGCCTTTCTTATGATGTCAAAGTTGAATTGCAATGTCTCAGTAGGTTCAATTTCATCTTCATCGTCAATTTCCCCTGTATATGGCAAAAGAGTATAACTGATTTTAGTTATTGAAAGGAGATTGAAGATTGATTGACAGCACCTAGCGAGAAAAGTCTTTTGATTCTTTGACTGATTCAATACCTTATTATTTCTAGATGTACATATTTCACTCCTTATTTTATTATTTCTATCTTGATTAATTAATTACTTGTATAGAGAATTTCATCTTGACAACACCAAAAGTTTAATAAAGTTTCGTCATATCAATAAGACATCGGAAGAAAACAATAATTTGTCTAGTAACACAAGTAAACAATAGTTTATCTTACTTTCATTGTCAACAACTTCTCTTTGCTTCCTTGATCTTAAGAAGATGCACACAAAGATGGCCAGTACAGCGACGGCAACAGATGGCACAACCACCGCAATGACAATTCGTGTAGTGTTATTCTTTCCTGCAAAAAAAACAGAACTTCATGTTGAAACTTACATAGAAATCTAATGACAAATGATGCATAAAAAAGTTTAAAATCCAAGAGACCCTTATGACAGGTTGAACTTTAGCAAAACAGTTATGCATCCTTTATCTAAGAACATAACATGTACCTCCTGTGGGAGTGATATTATTGGTGTCTGAAGAAGGAGGAGACAGTTGTGGTGGCGACGACAACGGAGGGGTGGCATCAGCTGTAGAATCATAGAAGGGGGATGTATCAAACCTAAGATTGCAGCTTGGTTTCCCAATTCTGCCACTTGTCTTGCCAGCACAACAAGTTGAGATATCTGATATAGCTCTAACCAAGCAATCATTGCACTGTTGCTCTGACAAATCAGGTGTGCATTGTAGAAGTGCAAATATAGTTTGAAAGCTTGGACCAGCTGCGCTTCCTGAAGCATACTTTTTAAGGGAATCACCAGACGCAGCTTTGCTTCTGAGGCTGTCCACTAAGTTCCTAAGAGCCGCGTTGAACTGTTCCATATCAGTCGCATTGTTCAGGGTCCACAGAAAGTAAGTAGGGTCAGGTTCCATGGTCTCAAATATTGAGCGGTTTGAGTAGCGCAGCATGCAATTGTCATACCACCCAATGGCCTCTTTCTGGTTTGAACAACGCTGTGTGAGAAGGACTCTTGAATCGTTCAGGCAACTGCGGCAAGCATCTGGCTTAACATCTCCTCTACACATCCCAATTGCGTTAACTTTGTCAGAGTTTTGGCCCTCGGAGAAATTGTAGAATCCAGAATCAATCTGCGTGTTGGAAGACAAAGTGGACAAAAGGGTATTGAGGTTGGTCTGGTAGGAACTGTTCGCAGTGTAGTTGCCTTTGTCATTCATGCAGAAATGGTACAGGAAGCTTGGCTGAGCGGTGGTGTAAGATATAAGAAGGAAACAGAGAAGGGAAGTCACTCTTGAAGGTGCCATAGCCATGGGAGAATGATCTCTAACCAGCCTAGCTTCTGACTTTTAATTTGTAACAGTAATCCAACTCTATTTTTGCTTTTACATTTTGGCGTTTGAAAGTAAAAGGTGCTACTTTTCGTTGGCAGAATCTTTGAAACATTCAAAAAGTGGAAAACTCAAAGTCAATATATATCTACTTCCTGGAAAGTCCCAGTTTATGTCCACTTGATTGCGATGAGATCTTTCTTCAGACCAAGACAAAATTAGATGATTAAATATTTTAATAAGAGTTTCTTCATGTTTAATTTTTTTTTCTCCTAAATTACGCAAATTCAAAGCATTTCTAACTGGTTTTGAACTCCTTTTCAACTTTTCCATTCTTTTTATAAATATACGCCTTCGTACTCTTAAATTAACTTTTAATTCAAAAATTTTAATATACAATTGCTAAACTATTAATTAAATTATATTTATTATATGATAAAGAATGATGTATTGTTCAAACCGCAATCCATAAACTACGATATTTATTTGGTATTGGCTATATATGTACACATTTTTCTTTTATTGGAAGTGTATTAACATTTAGTTAATCTTCTCTTTATTAGATCACCTGTTTCAAGATAAAAAAATAATTTTAAATACGATAATTAAATAATTCTAAAGAAAATGTATTATAGTTATCAATCTATTGAATATTATTATATATAATATAACTCTAAAGAAAATTATTATATAAGATAATTTATGATTAAATATTTATTAATTATAAATACATACTTAACTTTTATTATTAATGATCATATTATTTATTAATTATAAATATTTATTAATTATAATATTTATTATATAAGAACAATTAAGAGACAGTGAATAACTTAAGTTGACTAATTCAAATTTGGAATGTGTGGTGGTAACATTAGCAGGCTTCTATTGCTTACTCAAAATGTGGTTTCCTTCTCAATTTTACAAAAAACTAATTCTTTACTCTTTTTTTTGTAATTAAATTTATAATAGATACATGTTTTTAATAAATAAAACATATCATAAATATGAGAAAAGAATAATCATGCGTCTTCATATTTTTTTTAAAGATTCAAATAAAATAAAAAATATATATTTGCAGTTAATAATAATCATTTTTATAGAATGATCAAATATCAATTTTCTAAAAAAAATGCTTATGACTGAATCAGTTAGTAAGAAATGACCGGGGGTAAACACGTTTTATAATTTTAAAATAGATGAAACTAGAAAGACAAAATTGTTGTTTTATATATTTTTAAAATACAATTATGTCTACAGATCAAATTAGCGATGGCATGTATCAATGACTAATTTAGTCTTCGAATATGATGCAAACAAAGAATTAGTGATGCTCTATAATTAATTAATTATAAAAGATATTGTTTTACTTTTGGTGAACATAATATTGATATAAACCCACTTAATAAAATAATGGTATGTGACTTATTTGTAATTAATTTACATTAACATCATAAAAAAATATTTTTCCTCAAATAAAAATTTATTAAACTATTTATATATATATATATATATATATATATATATACAATTTTATAAAAAATATTCAAAATCATATACAATATAATATTTTAATAGATTATAAATATAAAAACTATATTCCGTATAAAATAAATTCTTTGTGAAGTTAATAAATAAATTTATTATTATATCCGATTTTTTAGTAGTCTCAATTTCTCTTTTAAGAAAATAGTGTCAGTTTCAATCTTAAAAATCTAGCTATTGAAATTTACATAGTGAGAAGGTAAGCTTTTTCACTGTTAATTTTCTTTTGTAGTTTTTCATAATTTGATTTAAAAACAATAAATGATGTGGTAGATAATATATTTAAACAAGATTACAAATCATGAACAAATTTAAAGAATTTTAAGAGTCGACTTGAGGGTGTAGAGGTTTATTCAATCAAGGAGGACACATTTTACTGAGATCCCCTGCTATGCAGTGTTCCTCACTTCTCCTGGATCATAGGAAATAACTTTTGCCATTGTTGGTCTATCATTATGTTTATCTGGGACACACAGTAGACCAATTTGAATGCACTTGAGCACTTCATTATGATTGCCAGATTCTTCTATCATTTTCGACTAATAATGTAAAGATCATATATACTATCGAGGAATTGTGTTACTTAAGGACATTTGGTTAACTGAGTATGTTGAACCTGAACTCAACTCCCCCATAACCATCTTTCGAACCATTCCACTTTGCTTAGAATTTGTGGGTTCTCCCGGTAATGGTAACTCTGTTAAAGGACTACAGAGATATGAAACAACTCTCGCCATTGTAGGCCTATCATCTGGCTTCTCTTGTACACATAATAAACCAATTTGAATACACTTAATGACTTCACCCTGATTGAAAAAATCTTTAATATCTTCATCTAATACACTTAATGGTGTGTCATTCCTCCATTGCCTCCAAATCTACAATAATTATATGAGAAATATCTGGATCAATTCTTTTTGCAAAAATTAAAGTAGAGAAATATACAAAATAGATACTCACATAACTCAAAAGATCTTCGTCTTCATCATCACTGGTTGATGGTACAGTAGGACAAACATTCCTTTTTGCACTAAGAACTTCCAAAATGATGACTCCAAAACTGAAGACATCTGATTTTTCTGAAAAGTGTCCCCGTTTTACGTATTCTGGTGCCATGTAACCACTGTTTAACAACATCAATATTAGAAAATGCACAAGAACAACTGATAAATCATAAAAAGTAAACACTTGAAAAGATATTCTTGAGATCAAGATTAGAAGACAATGATTTATAAATACTTACAAGGTTCCAACAACTCTCTTTGTATTTCCTCGATCTTGGTCTATAGCAATCATTCTTGCCATGCCAAAGTCTGAGATTTTTGGATTCATTTTGTCATCTAACAATACATTACTTGGCTTGAGATCACGGTGTATAACTTTTAACCTTGAATGTTCATGTAAATAAAGAATTCCTCGGGCAATTCCTTCAATAATCTTGTGACGCTCAAACCAGTTCAGAATTCTAGTTTTATGAGGATCTATAAATATTAACATTCATTCGAGAAAAATAGATTACAACATGTATTTAAGCAGAGAAAATCTAAAATTTAATCTTAAATGGAGATGAAAATTGCATTTACATACCGAATAAAAAGTAATCCAGACTTTTGTTGGGCACAAACTCATAAATGAGCATTTTCTCCTGTGCTTCCAAGCAAAAGCCTAATAATGTTACTAAATTTCTGTGTTGAAGTTGGCCTATTAGCAAAACTTCATTCTTGAATTCTACTATACCTTGTCCTGAACTTTGCGAAAGTTTTTTAACAGCTATTTCTCGTCCATCTGTTAAAATTCCCTGAAATTATACGTAATTAACTAACTGTATAACATATATGTGAACAAACATGAACATAATTCTTTATTCTATGTTTTCTCACCTTGTAAACTTCTCCAAATCCACCTTTTCCTATTTTATTTTCTGAAGAAAACCTTTTTGTGGCCGCCTCTACCGTGAGCAAATTGAATTGTAGCAACTTCATCTTCGCGCTTTCATCTCCAACTGCAATAACATCAAATTAAACAAACCCATACATAACTGCCAGTCTCGACTGCATTTTTCACTATTTAAACCTATGAAATCTGAAAGTAGAAATAGTTTAAAAACTACTTACAATTTTCTATTAGAAGACGAATCTTGTAATTATTCCTCATTCTTCTGAATACAACATAGCTGACAGAGATCAGGAGAATAATAGAAAGGGAAACAACGACCGGAATCAATATTACAATTTTTCGTGGTCCAGAATTTTTCTTTCCTGCATAAAAAGTTGTGGAGAATACATCAAGCTTCGGTAATAAAAAATGAATAAAAAAACACGACTCAGATAATGAACTTCATAGAGAAATTAAATAAAGTCATAAAATAAATAAAATATTTCAGACATGTCAAACGTTTCTGCATAATTTTTCCCATTGCAGGCATCATCAAATATCGATTAAAATAACCTGAAGGAGAAGGAACCAGTGGCGCTGTTGGCGTCACTGCTGTGTTGTAAAACTGAAACAACTCGTATCTGATATTACACCATGCAAGCAGAGCTCTTGCGCCCTGTTTTCCTTCACAACACGCAGAAAAGAGAGTTCCAATACCATTTTTCAAACACGTCTCGCACTGATCATTCGTGGCGCTGGGCACGCACTGCACCAAGCCGTAGACGTGCCCCGAAGAACCAACCTTTACCGCCGCTTCCCCTGTCGCGAATTTCTTCGAACTCGCAGCATCCTCAGCCAAACCGTTCAACAACCCCAACAACGTTTGGTTAAAGTTTTCGAAATCCGAGGCGGAGACGCTCTTATTCTCCCACAAGTTCACTTTCGGGTCCATGCCCATGGGGTCGAACCAGTCGTTTGTGTAGGCCACCATACACTCGTCGTACCATATGATGGACTCCGTTTGGTTGTGGCAGCGGCTTGTTATTTCTATGGCGGCGGTGGCCACGCATTCCTTACACGTGGCGGCGGAGACGTCACCGCGGCAAAGGAAGATGCCGGCGGCGACGTCTGGGGACGTCATTCCAAGGATGGTTTGGTAGGAGACGTCGCGGCCCAAGGAGGCGTTGGAGGTGAGAGAAGTGAGGAGGATTCGGAGATTTGTTTGGAATTCAGTGTTGAATTGGTGCGCTGTGTTGGTTGGACAGTAATTAGCGTTGTAATTGAGAGCTAACGATGAAGCAATTGCTTGTATGGATAATAAGAGCAAAGAACAAGTAACATAGTCGCGGGAAACAAACATCTTTCGCTTTTCATCAATGTTCTGTTGCACCCCACTTCCTTGAAGACGGAAATGGAGATCTTAACTTGGGTGCTTTCGCCAATCCCCTTCTCCACTTCCCACTCTCTGTCTCTCTCTTGTTTCTGTGCCAATGTAGAGAGGTAAGAACCTTCCAAGTTTGTATTTACTTATTCACTTTTAATTTTTTTTATGTATTGAAGAAAAAAAAATACAGATTGAAAACAAAAAGGTTACAGATTTTAAATTAAAAGATTGAACAAAAACATAAAACTAACTTTTTTTCTTTATAAAAATGTTTGAAAAAAATAAAATAAGGAAATAAAAAGTATATTTTATTTTATCCAAAGAGTAAACTTTCTTCCTTCCACTTTCTATCTTCTTGCAGCCAAAGGGCGTTTGGGTTGTGTCAATATTGAGTTGAGTTTGGTATTGATAGAAATTTTCCAATAAACCAAGTTTGAAACGGTACTAAGAAAAGTACAAACAACACGTGTTTAACTTGTATTGGATACAGATAATAAATAAGTGATATAGAAAGAAATGAGTTGAAAGTCACTGACATAGAAATGAGAGACCATAGTGATAATAAAAACAGAGAGTATGAAAGAAATTTAAAATAACTTGAAAAATTATTATTATAATTTACTCAAATATTTAATATGGGGGTGAATGGTTTCACTTGGGTTGATCTCCAATTTTCTCCAGTGGGAATGATGGTTTATACGAATGAAATTCAATCGATTTTTATTTTTACTAAACAAATATGGCATGTCAATATGTCCTGAGGGTGAGACGTGACCTTCAATTTGGCAAGGAATAAAAAATATGGTTGGGTCCAAAGAGAAAATAAAAAATTAGTAAAATAAGTAGGATAAAATCATAAATATTGAGACAAGGTCTAGTTAGTCATACTTGACTTACATAAAATGGAAAAGTATCTGATTTTTCAACTAATTTTATGATTAAATAATCAACTTCTAAATATTTGGATTGTAACTATTGCTAACTCTAAACCATACGCAACAGCAATTTGTCACGAAAATAAATTGTGATTTTGGGAAAGTAGTTGAATTTCGGAGTGATGGTTCTCATGAAAATTTTATTTGATTATAACGGTTTTAGTTCAGAGTTTAGTTAGCGTACTGATTATATTTTTTAATCATTTGGTTAAAGGGGAAAAAAATTTGTACATCGTCTACGTTTATAAATTTAAATTATATATATATAAATAAAGATGATAAAGCTTTTAAAAACTAGGATTATGAAATAGATTTAATTTAATTAATTTGAAAATACAAAAAACAAAGCTATTAATTCTTAGTTGTTTTCATTTTACTATAGGTTACTATAAAAAATGTTTTCATCAAAAGAATATGACCCTAATTAGATTAAAAAAAACATGATGTCAACTAAATTAATTATTAAACATGTCCGGTTTTATCAATTTTTAATATCAAATATTTTAATTCAAAATATTAATAATATAAATAAGCCTTTCCTTTAAAATACCTATTCAACCTTAAGAAAAAAAGAAAAAAAGTAAAACAAAGATTGCGCTACAAGAAAGAAAAAAATCATTAATAAATATATGTTCTCAGCTTTAATTTTAAAAGTAGCATGCATGTACAATTGTTTAAATTATTATATAAATAGAATGCATGTACAATTGTTTTAATTATTATGTATGCTGTACCACTGGTGCAGCAGTGGCTAAAACGTTCCATCGCATTTGCTGTTAGTGGGCCGAAACGCATAACCCAAACACCAGTCTACTTGAAGGAATGCATTCAATTTTGGGCCCTTTTCACATGTTTTGTTTCTTTTACTGTTTCTTTCTACATTCTTTCTTTAAATATGTTTTTAAAAAATTTATTTTAAATATCTTTTAAAAAATTATTTTAAACATTTTTTTAATTAACCTTTTTGAAAGCTTTTGGAATCAGCTTTTTAGAAATACATTTCGCAAACTGATTCGAGAACATTTTTTAAAACCTCTCAGAAAAGTTAATCCAATAAATTTTATAGAAACTGATTCCGAAAAATACAATCCTAAAATATATTTTTGGAAAACAAAATCAGCGGATAAGTTATATATTGTTGAATCTATCCAAAATTATTTTTGGATTGAGTTTTTATTCATGTTCTTATAATCTTAATATTTTTTTCTTCAACTAAAATATTCTTAATTAACTTAGTAATTTTTTTATAATAAATATAATTAAAAAGTATATAATTGATAAAAGAGTAATTAATGCAATAACATTATATATTCAAAAATAAAATTTTCTATTCAAAACGACATTTATTTTGAAATAAAGGCAAAATAGCTTGTAAGATGAAGAAAATTTTCCTTAATTTGTTTCCATCTTCTTTATTTTGTCGCTTCTTTATCTTTCTAGAAAGGTAGTAGCAATAGCCTAACATTCGCATCTTAAAGTTTATTTGATTCAGAAAATAATATCTTTTCAAACTAAACGTATCCTAATTTCATAAGGAGTAAAGGGCATCGACATAATATCTATAGCAACCATCAATAGTTATCATGAGTATTATTTACACTTTTCTATGAAATGAAACAGTCATTGAATTTAAATAATGGGACGTTTTCTATCACATATTGTGAAAAGTCGAAGTTTAAGGTAAACAGAATTTCAAATTAATGGAGATTTTAACTAGCTAGGATATACAATTTATTTATATACAAGACTTAATACTAGCGAGGAATAAATATACTGACAGACATTTCATTTCTTGATAGTGCAGAACCTGAACTGGATTCTCCTACTACCATCCTTTGAACTATTCCACTTTGTTTAGAATTTATGGGTTTCTCAGGAAATGGCAACTCAGATAAAGACCTACTGCTGAGATATGAAACAACTTGTGTCATGGTAGGTCTGTCTTCTGGCTTCTCTTGCACACATAATAAACCTATTTGGATGCATTTAATGACTTCACTGTGATTGCAAGATTCCTTAATATTTTGGTCTAGTATGTTTAATGGTGTCTGATCCCTCCATTGATCCCAAGCCTGCAACAAATGCATGAATCAAATATTAATTGGATCTTGTCTTCTTTCTGCCTGATCAGCACCAATTAGTGTAAAATAATATTCTACAAATAATACTTACATAACTCAAGAGGTCATCATGATCTGAGAAAGCATATCTAGCATTCCTTTTTGCGCTAACTATTTCCAGCATTATAACTCCAAAACTAAAAACATCAGATTTTTCTGAAAATTGTCCATGCATTGCATATTCCGGTGACATATATCCACTGTTAAAAGATATCAACGATTAGAAAATGAGCATATTTCAACAAATTAAAAATACATTTACTCGAAAGATACTTACTATGTTCCCACGATTCTATTTGTCTTTCCTTGATTTTGATCTACAACAACTATTCTTGCCATTCCAAAATCTGAAATTTTTGGATTCATATTGTTGTCTAATAATACATTACTAGGTTTAAGATCACGGTGTATAACTTTTAACCGTGAATGTTCATGTAAATATAAAATTCCTTGGGTAATTCCTTCGATAATTTTGTAACGTTCCGTCCAGTTCATTTGACTGCTCTTGTAAGGATCTGTCAATGGAATATATATATAAGGGAGTAATTTTCTACCAACAAAAGTATTTCAAAGTTCAAGAATTAATAGTAGGAAGAAAAATAATTAAGAAAACTTACCAAATAAAAAATAGTCCAGGCTCTTATTGGGGACAAATTCGTAAATGAGCATTTTTTCTTGAGCTTCCAAACAAAATCCTAACAATGTCACTAAATTTCTATGTTGAAGTTTTGCTATTAATAAAATCTCATTCTTGAATTCTGCTGCACCTTGGCCTGAAGTATGTGAAAGTTTTTTAACTGCTATTTCGCGTCCATCTGGAAGGGTACCCTAAAAGGACAAACAATTCAGTTAACCACAAGAAATAAATAGAAACAAACATGTATATATTTTTAGTTACACCTTATCACCTTATAAACCTCTCCAAATCCACCTTCACCTATTCTGTTTTCATGTGAAAACTTCTTTGTGGCAGCTTCCATGGTGGCCAAACCAAATTGTAACGACTCCAAAGTGGAACTTTCTTCCCCAACTAGAGAAACATCAAAGAGCTAAAATTATTCAATTTAGCCATTTAAAGAAATGGAAAAGGGTCAGGCTTTGTTTTTCAGATTACTTACAATTTTCTCTTAGAAGAGTGTTGTATTTCTTCCTCGATCTTTTGAATATGAAATAGCAGACACCGCATAAGAGAATTATCGACACAATAACAAGGACAACAATGAAGATTACTCGTAATACAGTATTGTTATTTCCTGCATTGCATTAAAAAAAAAAATCAGTATTTAGTAATAACAAAAAGAAAAAAAAAAGATGCTTCATTACGCATACATACACTAAAAAACATTGCCATTTCCTAACTACTTAGCATTGGACTAATCTCCATCAATATATTCAACTAAGCTATAAATATCGAGATTACTGAACAGTGTAATACATTAAATTCCATCAACATAGAAAATTTGTATATACTATTAATATATGAGTAAATAGGTTATATATTTGTTAAGAAAAATACTTGATGAGGGTGCAGGGTTGGCGCTTGAATTGTAAAACTGAAACAATTCGTATCTAGCATTGCACCACACAAGCAGAGCCCTCGCGCCCTGTTTTCCTTCGCAGCACGACGGAAGAGTTGAAACGGCGTTTTGCAAACACTCTTCACACTCACTGCTCGTTAAGTCCGGCTCGCACTCCGTCAGGGCGTACACCGTTCTCTGCGGCGAGGATCCGGCGAATTCTCTATTGCCGGTGGTGAATTTCCTCGCTGAGTTAGAACTCGCAGTCTTTTCCACCAAATCGTCCAACAAGCCGAACAACGTGCGGTTGAAGCTGTCCAAGTCGGAGGCGGAGATGCTTTTCTCGTCCGACAAGCTGGCTCCCGGTTCGATGCTGGTAGGGGCGAAGTAGCTGTTGGTGAAAC